TCTTTCTGGCTGACAGTACATGGTGGTTGGTGTTTGACCACCATGTGGAGCAGATAATAAGATTCAAAGAGTTCTATCAGCTGATTGAAACCCAGCAATTAAAAAAGCTAAGAAAAAAGTAGACATTCTTGGTCGTGATTCAGGCAGTGTTTAGCCGCCTTTAACATATATATATATATATATATGCACTTATGACCCAGTATAAGGTTTTGGAATTGGTAAAGTGTCAGCTAGATGATACGTTAGAGAGTTAGAGGGGGCCGTAAGTTAGATAACTCAATGGGTTATTACGTCACCCTCTTGTAAATAAAATTTATCATCATCATCATCAATATTTGAGAGTGTTTGTCCCTTTCTTCCTTTTGCCTTCCAATCTTTCATTCCCAGTTTTAATCTCTTTGCATTAAAATGATGAAAGAGCTTGAAATTTCAAATAACTAACAAGAGATTTGTTCTACTATTTCTTTAGGCCATCATAACACTCGATGACATCCCGTACAGTGATGGTAAGAAAATATGTTCAAAATTTAGATTCTTTAAATTGGAACTATAACAAACGAAATTGTTTCTTCTCTTTCAGCTGTTGAAATAATTAGTGACTGGGACTCCAGGCTAGAGTGGGACAAGACGTTCGATAAAGTTACAGTATTAGAAACAATTGATACATCAAGACTCGTCTATTGGTGAGGAAATCTACCGTTTGAAATAGGGTTTTGCGAACATTATAAATAGAGGCGTTTCACTGTACCATCACGTGATGGCAGCCATGACGTAAGGCACAACAATAGATCCCGACTTTTTTTCTCTGGGAAACTCTGGGAAACTCTTYCTCATCTAAACCAATTTAAACCAGATTCAAATGTTCCTGCCAGTCATGGCTGCCATCACGTGATGGTACAAAGCCTCTATATGTATTGCTTCTCCCACCACCATCATCCTTTATGCCTGTTTGGCACTTGGGCCGACCTTTGTGCTAGTTTCGGGAGCATTAAATAATATGCATGTAATGGGGTTGCTGGCCCAATGCATATTGCCAGAGCCCTGTTAGCTGGCATCACCCGTTACCACCTCCCACGACAAGGACGTCGGGATGGACTTTACAGGAGGCGAATTGCATCTCATTTTTCAATCATTCCCATTTCTTTTCTCCTGCAGTCCTGTCAAGAAGAGAGAGCTTTTCTTGGCCATTCAAGACAGACTAGAAGAACAGTACTACGCGTCCGCCTGGAAAAACACAGCACATCCAAAAATCGACAACAACAAAAACAAAAAACTCAAGTGAGTAATGGTTGTCATTCATTCATTCAGTCTTTCGTTGATTTGCAAGAAGAAATTCGTGTCTTCAGCATGTTGTGTTGAAAAATCCTACCGGCTATAAATGGTTGACCAATCCCATGCGTGAATGAATCCTATAGTAAGCTAGTCTATCGGAAATGGTTACTGTTGAAGTTGAGATTGTTTTCAAGTTAAATCCATGACAAACGATTGAAGCTACTCCCTTCATTTATGGTCATGATTCATTTGTGCAGACCTTCGGTCAAAATCTCACTAAATTTCCTTTCTTAATGTTTTCATACAGGCTTTATTACCTAGTTTCTGGTCTAGTGATTCGTCCAATCAGTAGCGGTGGTTCCCAGATCACCCTGCTCTGCCAGGTCAAAGGCTCGGTTCCTTCACAAGTCAAGAGTACATTCTTGGCAGCCAACCCAGCCAAATGGATCGACGCTCTCAAAAAACACTACGATAGCAGGATTAAGGAAAATTCTGCGAAAGAAGAGTAGGCTTTTTGGACTTGGTTTTAGTGATCTTTTCTATCGTTAGGGCCTTGGTTTTAGGGTATTAAATAGGATCCCCAGACACAAGTCTGATTAGCAAACGTTTAACACACGTTCAACAGCAGCAGAATCAAAAGGAAATGTTAATTCTTTACTTATTGTAGCAACAAGTCATTTTAATAACTTACTAGATTGTGAAACCACACTACACTACACTCGCTCACTACACGACACGACACGACACGACACGACACGACACGACACTGCACCACACCACACCACGCCGCACCACGCCACGTCACACCACACCACACCACACCACACCACACCACGCCACGCCACACCACACCACGCCACGCCCGGAGCTAAAAGCAAGTTTCAGTGTCTTAAAGTTCGTAAATTGGCAAATAGGTCGAGAGAAGAACTTTATACGAGTCGAGCGAAGCGCCCAGAGGCTGCTTCGTGGTTCGATCTGTGAGTTACCCATACCCTGACTTAGATTAGCCCAGAGGTGGTTTAACGGTTCGATCTGTGAGTTAGGTTATAGTCGTGCCATGTTTTAAATCAGCTCAGTGGGTTCGATATAATTTAGAAGGTTTTGAATTTAGTGTTTCGATTCTGTTCTTTATAATGTTAAAACCCACTGAAACTATTATTACTTGTGTGGGAGTTTTATACCATGCATATAAACCTATTACTTCAAAAATGATTTTTGGAGCTAAAGAAGATAGAACGAAATTATGGGTAAACATCTAAACATGAACAATCGAGGTGCTTACTCTCTACTTGCAATACTGAGGTTTTGCACCATCACGTGACGGCAGAAGGTCAGATGACAGGAACAATAATATCGTTTTACATGAGAGACAATTCAATTCCCGAGATCAAAGGGATTTTATTGATGGTTTTCAACCATTCCAAAGAGAATTAAATAACAAAAGACACGGCGGCTATGTTGGAGGACATAAAAAAAGAATTCATTGACAATTCTTTTGTTAAGTTCCTCCAACATGGCCGACGTGAAAACCATCAATAATTATACCATCAAACTACTGGCAGCACAAGCTGTATTATGGGCGTGGGCACGCGATGGTGCAAAACGTCTATGTTTCAACACTAACCTCGGTGTTCTTGACAAGAATAATAAGAATACGTCATTTTAGATATTCCTGAAGCCGCTGGAATTGCTTATCGTCTATTGTTGGCTCCGTCAGCATTTCTTTTAAATACGTGTATAACTATCAAGTTATTAATACAGTTGTTAATCATTCTTTAACTTTTTATATGAGTATAAAACTGATTCAGTGATAATATCACTTTTATATCTTGTGTGCTTATAGTGTAAGACAACAACCAAGTCATATTTTATCTTCTTAAATTTTTGTAATAAAGATAAATATGAGGGTTTTTTTTTTTTTTGCCCACTTAAAACTAGAAGTATATGTTGACTGAAGAAAAGTGCGCATGCGCACTTCGGGTTCCTCTGGTCGTTACTGACCAAATATCACCATTTCTGCTCGGGAGACTAGGATTTTTAAAATTAATTAATCAATTAAGGACCATACTTCAAGACAGACATCGATTACTGAAGCGTCATATGGCAGTGCCAAACATTTACTGTTATGATGGAGATTTTGACCCCCAAGACGGCTATTGGAGGATTTACAAACGCATGACGAAGCAAGGATAAAACGCATACATTTGAAAACGCTCTCCAGAGTGGAGACATTTGAAAACGGAGGCCTATCGTATTAGTGTAGACAGCGAAAACAGCCAGTCTTTTAAAAACGCTAACGTCATTCCTATTAAGAATATTTAKACACTGATAGTAGGTTAGCTCTGAGTAAATGAGACTGTAATCAAGGAACACAGCGGTAGTTTGGAACTCAAAAACGGTCTATCAGATGTATTGATATGCATGGTTTTGGTTCGTAGAATGCTCTCAATGAATCTGTTAGATCATAAAAGATGACTATCATCAGTCATTGTGGGCAACACGAAAGCAGACGTGCCTAATGATATTCCTRCAGTATCTGGCGACTAGCTCCAAGAACTGGCACTTTATCAAGTCTGAGAACTGTACTATAAAAAACTTCGTAAAACATAAAATTTAGGCCAAAAAAATGGAGTAATCAATAATTTTGTCAACCTTTGGATACCAATCAAGCATATGAATTTCAATTCCACTAATAATAACAATAATAATAATTTATCAAACACATATTGCGCAATTATCAATATGGGGAATTTTCAATTGCGCAATACAAAACTTAATGAATCGTTAAACAAGCTAATAAGAATATCAATTCAAAAAGTAGCAGCCCTAAGAACTTACAGTTACGAGAAAAAAATGGAGAAAAAGAAAAAAATCTAAAATATATCTTCATCTATAAAAATATCGAATGAATTGAAAATTATAGTTATCGTAGATTGATAAGTTTTACACCGTAGTGAAAATAGGAACTGACGTTTCGGACGTTAGTCCTTCGTTGGAGTCATTGACTTCCTATTTTCACTACGGTGTAAACCTTATCAATCTACGATAACTGTTTCATTCAAACACCGACGCAGTCCACGCTAGTGTTTACTAGCCATCATCTACGAATTAAAAATTAATTGTAAAAAGCTTTCTTAAAAAGATGGCTCTTAATAGCTTTCTTAAAACTATTTAAACAAAAAATCTTTGAAACACTTGAAAACCCAACTTGGCTAGAACCATGATAATAAAAGATGAGGACTATGATGCGACCAACTGACAAGCCATTGGRCTGACACAGGAAGCCCGCCCCAGTAATAATTGCTCCAACCCGAAGGCAATTAACGATAATGATCAATAATTTCCTCTGTCTGCCGCCATCCACGGAGCGCTTCTAGGTGTTGACGTGGATTTAGCTACAGTTGGGTTAAATACATTGTCGCTCTRTCTCGTACTGAGGCTGGATAGATCGTTTATGGTAAGTATTGCAGTTATATTTAGATATTTATTCATTATTTGCCTCCCAGATCATGACCAGGTTGTTAGTTGTTTTGAACGGTGCGCCTCGCAGCTCATTTCAATGGAACAAGTGAGTCCCCGAATGTACCACAGCATCCCTGCTGTTTCCATAACTGGTGTACTTCCACCTCACACGACCTTGATAACCCACGCTACAGTTTTCTACATTCGTATCTTTTTGGAATTTGCTTGAGTCTCTAGCAGAGACAACAAGTTGAATGTATGGCGGTGATCAGATTTAGATGTAGTTCGCGTGATATCTAACTTTCGAGGGCAGTCGTAACTCGTACCAAATAAACACTGCTGTGAAATGAAATGATCATCTATCAAATTATTCACTAATATTTCAATCATAGTCTTTAATAAATATAAATTCGATATCTGGCAGACTCAGACAGAATTGTTGCAATGCTACTCATGATGTAAATATAGCCTTTGTCTTATTACTTTTGAGACTTGTACTGATAATTGATAACTCAGTATTTCATATTTTCCGGTAGCATGCAATGAGTTTCGATAACATTTTGAAGGCGATATCATAGGGGAAAAAACGACGATAGTTCAACGACTCATAGCGTTTATATCATTGCAAAAATATGTATAACTCTGTGTATTGACATTAGTTCTTAAGCGTTTTCCTTTTAATGTGTTATTAATGTTTTCCAATGTTTAATAATAGTAAAATTAATAATATTTTTTTACATTAATAAGAATTAAAGAATTAATACATTAATTAATAAAAATTATTAAAAGTGGATGCCATTTTTGAATGGAAATATTTCAAAATAKTATTATATAAATAGTTATTCGAGAGGCAAGGAAGAAATAAAACCTGAAATTGGAGTAAACTCGAGTAAACAGGCTTTCGTGTATCAGTTGATCAAAAAATTCCTGAAGATCTTAAAATTTCAAACACTAGCAGGAAATAGGACGAAGTAGTTCACGATTTCCTCGAGAAAAAATCACAAGGACTACACTTTTAATGATTCAACTCCTGGACTTTCTGACTATATCGTTTTACATTTAAAATTCTCTAAAATAGCAAATTAACATCRCAAAGTGCCAAGCGAGAATAATACTCTAGCCAATCAGAACGCTGAATATCAAGGAGGAACTTGTTATGGCTTGTGGCCGGTGGAGCTGAAAAAATAGGTTAAAAAAAATGAAGATCCTTAAGCAACATGAATAGCAGGGGGGAAAACAGGTTTTGATATCAAGATGGCAAAACAAAAAAAAGCGTTATATATATAATATTATATTTGTGGAACGAGACGGCACAGTACTTGGGGCATCGCGTGTGACTAATAAAACCCCTTGTGCTAATTGTGGTTGTTATGGTCGAGAGCCCTTATTATGAGGTGAACTCGATACTAGACATGTCGATGCACACGTCACTCCACGCACTAATGATGCGGAACTATATTTGATAACCCGACCTGCTCAATATACAGCTCTGGTTCCTACCACAGGTAGCCCGCCATCTCAGGCTAGTAAAAGTTAATAGAGAAGACCGGTGTTACTCTATGCAATCTTCCGTGCATATCGTCGTAACTTGCCTCCCGCGCAATTTTCGTAAAAATCATGACTTAAGAATAGTCATCAAAAAGCAATGTAAACAGTATTTCAATGTTTGCTCGATTGCTTGTTTGTTTGTTTGCTTGCTTGCTTGTTTACTTTCTTGCTCGATTGCTTGTTTGTTTGTTTGCTTGCTTGCTTGTTTGCTTGCTTGTTTACTTTCTTGCTTGTTTGCTTGTTTGCTTGTTTGCTTGTTCGCTTGTTCGTTTGCTTGCTTCTTTGCTTGCTTGTTTGTTTGCTTTTTTGCTTGCAATGAAAGCAACGTTTTCCACTATATTTATCATCGTAGTAATCAATGGACGCCAAAAGACAAGAGTCGAGAGATGTTGGCGAAGCCAAAGTCACTGATGGTTAGTGATTATATGGTATTGTTTGATACTATAAAATAACTACCTATTCCTCCCCTCTGCAATGTAAAAATAAACCCCTTCCGAATTCCAATTCGATGATGGATCAAGGAACTATATTTAGCCATTCAGAGGTTGAGGAAACAACTGTGTCGAGATTGCATCGCAGTGCATTGTGAAGCTTTCCTTTTGCTCATGCGCACTACATGTACGCGGTTAAAAACCGGTTTTAAAACTGGTTTCGTTCGTCCACAATCGTGGACGGCGGTGTATCAAAGGAAACGCTCTACATCGGCAGAGTCTCCTTCCTCCCCGCCTAAAAGAAGGGAGAGAAAGAGGAGAGACTCTGCTAGCATATGGAGCTGTATAAGGGAACATATGCATTTCAACTATCGTGGTAAACGTTTTAACACCACGTGACCGAAGTGCAGTCGAGTTTTAATCATGTGGTGTAAACAACTTCAACTGCCTCAGTCTACTAGGAAGAGTAGTACGCCCAACATGGATAAGACGTCAGTGGATGATTGTTAATTAGTGAAAACTTAAGAATCGCAAAAATATCCAAATCCACCATTCGTACCAAAAGAAATTAGCCTTTGACGCATAAAAAAGCTTAAGAGATCACATTGTTTTGTCAACTAGTATTAACCGTATTGAGATGCGTGCACATGCCTTCAAATAATCGACTTTTTTTCATTCAGTAACTGAAGGACTCAAAGGAAAACCATTGGGATTGGAATCCGGTGGAATCCCTAACAAACGAATCAAATGTTCCTCATATGCAAGAAAAACTCCTGCATCTTGTGCCAGATTGAACTACCCTGGGTGCTGGTGCGCTGATAAACGACTCGACTGTTGGCTACAAGTGGATCTGGAATATCCACACTTTGTGACAGGCATATCCACCCAGGGAAATCCGTTTGGAAATAGTGACTTTACTAAGAAATACAAGCTGCAGTACTCGCTGGATGGGGTGGGTTGGACGACACATGTGGAGAATGGAAACCAGGTTAGAATTGAAGGGGAGATGTATGGTTTGAATTGGAAATATTCTATAGGAAATATTCTAGAAGAAGAAATTTACTAAATAAAACCTAAATCGAATGTGCTATCGTCTTTTTTATCATCAATTTCCTTCATTACGTCCCATCCGTCCGTCCAGCCGTCCGTCCGTACGTCCGTGCGTTCGATCGTGCATGCGTTCGTTTATTCCGCGTCGTTCATTCCCTACCCTTCAGGTCCCACCTTTCTATAC